AAATTAAAAGGGATCATGGGGTTGCCACAATGGTCATGACATATATGGATTTGTATAACCCAATCATATTTATTGTTATGCCAAAATTAACATTGGCAAAAAATTGAACTTTCATTCATCATATTAAATGGCAACAGTGACACAAGTTACAAAAAAAACACATATTGTAAGTGGTTTTGTTGGACTGTCCTCCATCTTGCTCAATCAGGGACCGAAGGAAGGAAGCCAGCGAGCGAGAGAAGGAGGTCAATGTGAACAGTATTTCAGGAACAACACAACCTCTGAAGGAATATAAACTGATAACAATTAGGGCTGTGCAATATAACCGGTTTACTGGTATTTACTGGTTCAGACATGAAAACGATACGTATTGCGTTATGCTGATCGAAAAACAGTATATTGACTTGCATTCGGAAAACTTCGTAATACTCAGAAATCTTCGGATATTTCCTTGTTTCATTTGTGCCAAATATTATTTACATTTTTATTTTATCATGATTAAAAGTTGTTATTAAAGCTTAATCAAGCATAGTGATTTTGTTGAGCTTTGCAATATAAATCAAGCATTAACTCTATTGTAAGTAGTTTCTTTGTTTAAAAATACTTCATGCAATATATTGCAATACATATCGCAATATATGCTTTCACATCGCAATATATCGCAATTTGAAAATTCTCTGCAATACCCAACCCTAATAACAATGCATCCCTTGTGTCTCCAGCTTCCTGTTTCTGATCAGAATGTTGTCGTGCATGTACAATGATCAGAAGCACCACCGACCACTGATCCAGTCTGCTGTTCCAGACCACCTCCTGTGTAATACGTTTAACACAGACACAGGTAGGATCTCTCAGATAACATGGACGTCAGCTTAAGTAACAGAGATACACTCAACCAGAGAGACAGCATGTCTCAGTGAGCTCATTCAATGGACATCATGATGAGCAGATAGTGCAGGACAGACACACCAAACTGTAACCAGCTGACTGGTTGAGACATTACAACAACTAAAACTGACAGGGATTAAACTCTGGGGACATCACCATGCAAACACAGTGACTAGCGTTGTCAATAATCATTGAAGGATGAAGAACAATGAAGAACAATGAATGAAACACGAGGATCTATCAGTGCCATCGGATCTCAATGAGGCAGTGAGTGAAGTCTCTACATCTGACCACCTGGACATTCTTTTCAGATGGATCTGATGACAAGCATGAGGCCCCATGATCTTTTCTGATCCCACTTCCCCACAAGGTCCAAATAGTTGATACTTTTTCAGATACTGACTTATTATTCTGATAAAATCTAAGGAAACTAATCCTGGGATTCACAGACATGCTTAGAAACAGAAAAAAGGTAACCCCAAAAGCCTATCTTTGTTCTTGGTTATTTGAAAGAAAGATTTGGATGAATGTCAAGGACACCCTTTTAACAAAGATCAGGGACATAACCTGAATCAAATGACCATCAAACACTAGTGGCTCTTTGTCAGTTGGATCCGATGGGCTTCCAGACTTTACATGATTATGATCCATGTTCTGGCACTGTTTGTTGAAGATGTCCACAGCTGGGCAAGGACAAAGACATGCCATGACTACCCTGACTGTCAGTCATGCCTTGGTACCAAGGTCCTTCGTGAAGGTGTCAGTGATGTAATATCTGGCCAATAGCACCCCCTTCCACAGAGCAATGTTAGTGCTACGACAATTCTACATCTGTTTCAAAATATAGGAGTTATTTGTACCCACATTGTACCCATATGGGGAATCATACCAGGGTCTTTGGTGTGGTTTGCAAACCCTTCAACCACTAGGCTACCTCCACCCCCTACCCTTTACCTACGAAGCTGAGGAAAGAGGCCCAAACATCACAGGTCCTACATGAGTGAGTGAGTGAGTTTAGTTTTACACCGCACTCAGCAATATTCCAGCTATATGGTGGCGGTCTGTAAATAATCGAGTCTGGACTAGACAATACAGTGATCAACAGCATGAGCATCGATCTGCGCAATTGGGTAACCGATGACATGTGTCAACCAAGTCAGCGAGCCTGACCACCTGATCCCGTTAGTCGCCTTTTATGACAAGAATGGGTTGCTATTCTACCCCGGATCTTCATGGGTCAGGTCCTACATGAAGGTCAACAACAGGTAATACATGTTTCATTTGAGACTGTACTTTCTTAGTGAAGAACAAATTCTACTAACATATTTACTAGAAAAGTGTAATCCTTGCATTATATTTGACCACTTTCTAAAAGGCATTAAGTATTCAGTGTTCGGCCATTGGAGTTGTGCCAATTTACACTTTTCGGCGAGGTACACAAAGCATGTGATCAAGACTGCCATTTGTCCGATTTCTGACGAAGACCTGGTGACTGGTTTAAACCACTGACTTTACACCTCACTCTGAGATTCTGGATTCGAATCCCAGCTGAGGCTTCACCCATAAAAGAATGAGAATTAGTACTTAATTTGGAAAGTGTGTTCCCAAAGTTAAAATTCAGATTTCACCACTTTCTAACAAAATATTGTGCATTCAAAGCACACCAGTGGTGAAAAAAAGTGAAAATGTACCTATCTATGGCCTACTTGCATGAAGAGCCATGACTTTTCAACGGATTGAAACTACAGTGATGTACCCAGGGGAATACCTCAACACAAACAGCCTTATTCACAGCTTAGTCACAGCCATATCACACCTACATCACAGAACAGTCACAGAACAGTCACAGCTCCTTACAAACAGTCATCAACAAATATCCCCATGGTGTTATTTGATACAACTGGGACCTACAAAATGTTTCTGCCAAAAATCCAAAAACATGAATAGCCTAAAATTTGCTGATGAAGCATTAAAGCAATATTTGTTCAGCCACATAAGGGAGCTTGTATGACAGGTTAGATCAATTGACATTTGGATACTGGATAGCCAAGTCAAGAGTGTCCCCTACAGCATTATAAAGACTTACATTGAGGCTAGAAGTGGCTCCATGATATGTCCTCAAATGTGAAGTTGACAAATGGACAATTTAGTGTTCCAATTCATATCCTACCAAGCTGTTTCAGAAGGCTGTAGGTGGCCAGTGTTTGTTAATGGGTAACATTGTCACAGACTATTTAGCCCCTCCATAAGTCATGGACTAATGCCAACCAGGCTCTCGGACACAATATAAGGTAAGGCTACAGAGGGCAAGGTTTTATATTGGGGTGGGGCAATATTGGCTAACCTATTACTTTCATAATAGACTTGCCAACACTGTGTGCTCGTGGATTTGCTCTCAAACACAGTATTCTTACAGTTGTGTAAACTGGCTGTAAATCAGCCCCAGTTACACAGACGGAAGGCAGGAGATGTTAGGGCACCCAGATAATTAGTGCGTGGGTGAGTGAGTTTGGTTTCATGCCGATTTTAGCAATATTCCAGCAATATCACAGTGGGAGACCAGAAATGGGCTTCACACATTGTACCCTTGTGAGGAATTGAACCCGGGTCTTCGGTGTGACAAGCCAACGCTTTAACCACTAGGCTACCCCACAGCCCCTACATAGACGGAAGGCAGGAGATGTTAGGGCATCCAGATAATTAGTGCGTGGGTGAGTTTGGTTTGATGCCGATTTTAGCAATATTCCAGCAATATCACAGTGGGAGACCAGAAATGGGCTTCACACATTGTACCCTTGTGAGGAATTGAACCCTGGTCTTCGGTGTGACGAGCAAACGCTTTAATCACAAGGCTACCCCCCCCCCCCCCCCAATAATTAACCAAGGCTAAATACTACACTCTATCTCTACACTCAAGTCAAATCAGACCAGCCTCAGATGAATCAGTGCATCACATCAACAGCTATCATATGGACAGCATAATGAGAACAAATTGTTGTATATTGATGAAAAAAGACTCAATGAATAACAGGCTGAATTGTTTGATTGGCATTTCTCAGAAGTTGATCGATGACAATACAAAGATCTATATTGAACCATAACTTTTATAATATCATAAAGATATTGCCATACATAGACTTTCGGCCTACTAACCTTGGTGCCACAAAGCAGCAGTCTGTCAGAGCGTGTGAGTTTGTTTTATTCCACATTTAGCAATATTCCAGCAAAATCTTTGTAGGGCACAATGGAACTGAGCTTTACACATTGTATCCATGTGGGGAATGGAGTGAGTGAGTATGGTTTTACGCCGCTTTTGGCAATATTCCAGCAATATTGTGGCAGAGGACACCAGAAATGGGATTCACACATTGTATCCATGTGGGGTATCGAACCCGGGTATTCGATGTGATGAGCGAACACTTTAACCACTAGGCTACCCCAACGCTCCTGTGAGGAATTTAACTAGGATCCCTTTCCACAAAGTCATCATCCCAGATAGCATTCAGACGTTGGTCCAACGTTGGCAATGGTTTTGCCAATATTGCCAACGTTGGGCCAATGTCCGAATGCTATCTGGGATAGTACTAAAATGATCGTAACCCATACTTAAGCATAGAATTACGAGTCACAGCACTATAATTGTTTTATGGAACGTATCCCAGGGCCTTCGTCATAATAAACAACCTGGTATATATGGGTAAGACTACAAAAAGTGTTGTCGTATTATTGTATGCGTGTGTATCCATGTCTGTCATATTAAAATACACGATCTTTACTCGTTTATCAATACAGCTATGACTGACGAGCTGATTATCAATATTTTCTCAACCTAATGGGTACCAATTTGCTTCTAGTTCATATTGGCACCTTTCATACTGTTGGAGACAAATTCCACGCTTATAAGTTGGGAGCTCTTCAGACCAATGCATGCCTGCAGAGACACCCATCCACCATCTCTCTGATTTGCCTACCTTGACTGTCAGTGAAGGACAATGCCTGGTAAACATGGAAGACAACATAGGGGAACAGTGTGTTATCCGGTCACATGACCTACCCTGACTCTGAGAGGAAGACATTCCTGGAACAATATACTAGCAAGTCACATGACCTACCTTTGCTGCTGCAGCTGCTGCTACTTGGTCCCGCACAGTGTACGTCTGGTCCAGCTCACGTCCCAAGTCTACTGCAGGCCGAAGGTCAGTCGGTGGTGGAAGATGACGGTCAGGGTCGTCCAGACGGTGCTCCATTCTGAAAAGGAAGGCGAATCTGAAAAAAAGAAACAATATTTCATGAAAAGGAAGGAGCGACTAAAGTTTTTTTGTGGTTTAACAACAAAGTCTCAGCACACTGGTGCAGGAAGATCAATTTTGCTTGCTGAAATCTGAAAAAAGAAGACTACGGTTCTGTGTTACTGAGAAAACCAACCTCTTGTTAGCTAGAATTACAGCTTCAGATCAACTTCAGAGTTACTTCCCCTTGCCTTGATTAGTGACAGCATAGAAAATGTCGGACTTTAAGATTGTCCACAACACTACATTCATTTCTAATTAATCTAGTTATGAGTCTTAAATTTGGTACACTACTGTCCGAACACTGTCACAATACTTGACAACTATCACAACATCTAAATTATAGAAATCCCCAAAGGACTCAGAATTATTTACTCAACATTTTTAATGACGTTTTTCGCAAACACTTTGTGCATGCTCAGCAGAGTGGATTACGTCAGTAAGTGCTGTATAAACGATCTCCTTTGTAAACCTTTGTCCTCAACATGTGGTACTTTCAAATGATAGTCATTAATGAACCTATAATCATTTACAACAAATTTAAAGTTTTTTATATTTCATGCTTGAGTGTCGCTACCGATCGCTACTGATAACCAAACACTACCGTAACTGAATGCTTAGAAAGGAAATAATCACTGAAAAACTTGGTAACTGAAACTTACAGAGTGATAAGAAAACTTGGTAAACTGAATGGCTTAAATAGAAAGGAAATAATCACTGAAACTGTGTTGTACAACACAAACTTACAGAGTGATAAGAAAACTTGGTAACTGAATGGCTTAAATAGAAAGGAAATAATCACTGAAACTGTGTTGTACAACACAAACTTACAGAGTGATAAGAAAACTTGGAAACTGAATGGCTTAAATAGAAAGGAAATAATCACTGAAACTGTATTGTACAACACAAACTTACAGAGTGATAAGAAAACTTGGTAACTGAATGGCTTAAATAGAAAGGAAATAATCACTGAAACTGTGTTGTACAACACAAACTTACAGAGTGATAAGAAAACTTGGTAACTGAATGGCTTAAATAGAAAGGAAATAATCACTGAAACTGTGTTGTACAACACAAACTTACAGAGTGATAAAGAAAACTTGGTAACTGAATGGCTTAAATAGAAAGGAAATAATCACTGAAACTGTGTTGTACAACACAAACTTACAGAGTGATAAGAAAACTTGGTAACTGAATGGCTTAAATAGAAAGGAAATAATCACTGAAACTGTGTTGTACAAGAGTGATAAGAAAACTTGAACAGAGAAATAATCACTGATGTGTTGTACAACACAAACTTACAGAGTGATAAAAACTTGGTAACTGAATGGCTTAAATAGAAAGGAAATAATCACTGAAACTGTGTTGTACAACACAAACTTACAGAGTGATAAGAAAACTTGGTAACTGAATGGCTTAAATAGAAAGGAAATAATCACTGAAACTGTGTTGTACAACACAAACTTACAGAGTGATAAGAAAACTTGGTAACTGAATGGCTTAAATAGAAAGGAAATAATCACTGAAACTGTGTTGTACAACACAAACTTACAGAGTGATAAGAAAACTTGGTAACTGAATGGCTTAAATAGAAAGGAAATAATCACTGAAACTGTGTTGTGTACAAACTTACAGAGTGATAAGAAAACTTGGTAACTGAACAGAGTGATAAGAAAACTTGTACAACACAAACTGAATGGCTTAAATAATAGAAAGGAAATAATCACTGAAACTGTGTTGTACAACACAAACTTACAGAGTGATAAGAAAACTTGGAAACTGAATGGCTTAAATAGAAAGGAAATAATCACTGAAACTGTGTTGTACAACACAAACTTACAGAGTGATAAGAAAACTTGGAAACTGAATGGCTTAAATAGAAAGGAAATAATCACTGAAACTGTGTTGTACAACACAAACTTAGTGATAAGTGATAAGAAAACTTGGTAACTGAATGGCTTAAATAGAAAGGAAATAATCACTGAAACTGTGTAATTGTACAACACAAACTTACAGAGTGATAAGAAAAACTTGGTAACTGAATGGCTTAAATAGAAAGGAAATAATCACTGAAACTGTGTTGTACAACACAAACTTACAGAGTGATAAGAAAACTGGAATTGGAAATAATCACTGAAACTGTATTGTACAACACAAACTTACAGAGTGAACTGAATGGCTTAAATAGAAAGGAAATAATCACTGAAACTGTATTGTACAACACAAACTTACAGAGTGATAAGAAAACTTGGTAACTGAATGGCTTAAATAGAAAGGAAATAATCACTGAAACTGTATTGTTGATAAGAAAACTTGGAAACTGAATGGCTTAAATAGAAAGGAAATAATCACTGAAACTGTGTTGTACAACACAAACTTACAGAGTGATAAGAAAACTTGGTAACTGAATGGCTTAAATAGAAAGGAAATAATCACTGAAACTGTGTTGTACAACACAAACTTACAGAGTGATAAGAAAACTTGGTAACTGAATGGCTTAAATAGAAAGGAAATAATCACTGAAACTGTATTGTACCACACAAACTTACAGAGTGATAAGAAAACTTGGTAACTGAATGGCTTAAATAAACAAGAGTCATCAGAAGATGACATATCCCCCCGGCCCCCACATCTTTGAAAGAACAAATCATCTGACAGTAACTTAAAGTCCAGCTTGATTTTAGACTAAGTGCAAATCGTTTCCATGGAAATCATGAAAAAAATAAATGACAAAAATCTGCAAATAGCAAAAGGCACCACTTTGGGATCTGCCTCACATATCTGCCAAGTTTTGCTGAAAGATATTAATAAGTTTTCGCGTTGTGCTCCGGAAACAAAACCTACCCCTCCCTTTTGAGACTAAGTCCAAATTGTTTCCATGGAAACTGAGAAAATAATAAATCACAAATATCTGCTAATAGCAAAAGGCACCACTTTGGCATCTGCCTCACATATCTGCCAAGTTTTGCTGAAAGATATTAAGAAGTTTTCCAGTTGTGCTCCGGAAACGAAACCCATCCCTTCCTTTTTGAGACTAAGTCCGAATCATTTCCATGGAAACCGAGAAAATAATAAATCACAAATATCTGCAAATAGCAAAAGGCACCACTTTGGGATCTGCCTTACATATCTGCCAAGTTTTGCTGAAAGATATAGAGAAGTTTTCGAGTTGTGCTCCGGAAACGAAGCCCACCCCTCACTTTTGGGACTAAGTCCTAATCGCTTCCATGGAAACCGGAAAAATAAAATGCCAAAAATCTGCAAATAGCAAAAGGCACAACTGTAGGATGTGTTTGATATATCTACCAAGTTTTGTTGAAAGATATTATACGGTTTTTGAGTTGTGCTCCGGAAACTAAAGCAATCCTTACTTTTTGAGACTAAGTCCAAAATGTTTCCATGGATACCGGGAAAAATAAAAATGACAAAAATCTGCAAATAGCAAAAGGCACCACTTAAGGATCTGTTTCATACATCTATCAAGTTTTGTTGAAAAATATTGAACGGTTCTTGAGTTATGCTCCGGAAACGAAAGCAATCCTTACTTTTTGAGACTAAGTCCAAAATGTTTCCATGGAAACCGGGAAAAATAAAAATGCCAAAAATCTGCAAATACCAAAAGGCACCACTTTGGGATCTGCCTCACATATCTACCAAGTTTTGTTGAAAAATATTGAACGGTTCTTGAGTTATGCTCCGGAAACGAAGCCCACCACGCACTTTTGGGACTAAGTCCGAAACGTTTCCATGGAAACCGGGAAAAATAAAAATGCCAAAAATCTGTAAATAGCAAAAGGCACCACTTTAGGATCTGTTTGATATATCTACCAAGTTTTGTTGAGAAATACTGAACGGTTCTTGAGTTATGCTCCGGAAACGAAGCCCACCCTTCTTTAAGACTAAGTCCAAACGTTTCCATGGAAACCGAGAAAAATAAAAATGACAATAATCTGTAAATAGCAAAAGGCACCACCTTAGGTTATGTTTGACATATCTACCAATTTTGGTTAAAAAATATTGAACAGTCTTTGAGTTATGCTCCGGAAACAAAATGATTACGGACGGATGGACGGACGGACGGACGGATGGACGGACGGACGGACGAGGCGACGACTATATCCCACCGCATTACATGCCGGTGGGATAAAAAGGAAATAATCACTGAAACTGTGTTGTACAACACAAACTTACAGAGTGATAAGAAAACTTGGAAACTGAATGGCTTAAATAGAAAGGAAATAATCACTGAAACTGTATTGTACAACACAAACTTCATGATTAATGTTGTTTTAAATACAGCATCAACAAGAAGACAAAGTCATCAATATCCCCCGCAATGGCAAAATACTCTTCATGATTATGTCTACGAGTTATGATTATGTCCAATATTTAGGTGTGTATATAGAAAAGTGGAAGGAGAGTATTGAAAGGTTTTTAAAGTTCTGCTCCAGAAAGGAGCACTATCACCAATTTCATTCTATGTCAAACTTGTTGGCATGGAAATGCCAAAAATATTTTATTCAGAATTCCAAAACTACCAAAAAGGAACCAGTACACCACCAGATCTATCTATGTGTCAAGTTTGGTGAAGAAATAGTGAACGGTTTTAAAGTTCAGCTCTGGAAAAGAGCACTACCACCAATTTCAGGCTAAGTCAAACTTGTTGCCACGGAAAAGCCAAAACTATTTTATTCAGAATTCCAAAACTACCAAAAGGCAGCAGTACACCAACAGATCTATCTATGTGCCAAGTTTGGTGAAGAAATAGTGAACGGTTTTAAAGTTCAGCTCTGGAAAAGAGCACTACCACCAATTTCAGGCTAAGTCAAACTTGTTGTCATGGAAACGCCAAAAATATTTTATTCAGAATTTCAAAACTACCAAAAGGCACCAGTACACCACCAGATCTATCTATGTGCCAAGTTTGGTGAAGAAATAGTGAACGGTTTTAGAGTTCTGCTCTGGAAAAGAGCACTA